AGCTGTTGTAATCACTGTGGTGGGCACTTCAATGTGTAGCCACAATCAAAAATGCACAGAGCACACGTCGTGCGTCTGATCACTGGGCGGCCATTTGTACGACTCTGAATATCGCGAGGAAGACGTTGGCGATGAGCGCGCCCGTGCGGGCGCAAGCTGCCGCGGTGATCGGGAGTCGATACCCGATCGATGCTGCCATCTGATCGGACGGCGCAACGTTAACGGAATCTCGAACATTCCGCCCGCCATCAGCAACCTTGTTGATGATTCCTTACTCTTGATCCTTCATCCGGTTAAAATGGGTAATATGGCAAGCTTGGCGCTTGGCCGAGTGAGTGTCGTGGCCGTCTTGAGGGTAACCACTCTAGTGAGCCCATCCTTGCCGGGGTGCAGGTCCGTTACTCTGGCGAGTGGCCACTTGCACGGTGGAGAGCGTTCGTCGGTGAGCAGCACGATGGAACCTTGATGCTGTTGTTAGGATGATGCCATTTGAATATCGCCTGCTGGCGTTGCAGATAATGAGCCGACCCTTGTGCCCAAACATGTTGAACATGCTGCTGGATGAGCTGCCACCGAGATAGTCGTGAGGTTCCTAGGTCAATCAGAGATGGCTTGGGTATGGTAGTGAGTGGACCTCCAATGAGGAAATGACCTGGTGTCAGCGCTGAGACGTCTTCAGGGTCGTCACTCAGCGGTTCTAAGTGCCGCGAGTTGAGAATGTCCTTGTTTTGCGTAAGCAACGTTGTGAGTTCTTCCGTCGTGAGTAGAGTCTCCCCGATAGTCCGTCTCAGATGAAACTTGACGGATTTCACCACCGCCTCCCACTTGCCCCCCATGTGTGGAGCGCCTGGTGGGTTGAATTCCCATCTGGTGCAATCCTGATGTTCTTGAGAGCCCTGGATGACCATTTTCTTGAGCGCGGCGTCTGCTCCAATGAATGTTGTCCCGCAATTCGAATACATGGTCTGAGCAATTCCCCTTCTGGCTGAGAATCTTCGGAAGGCTGCTATGAATCCTTCTGATGAGTAGTCACTGACTACTTCGAGGTGAATTGCGGAGGTGGAGAAGCAGACGAACACACAGATCCATCCTTTGTATGTTTTCGCACCTCGTCCTTTCCATGTTTTGATGGTGAGCAGTCCGGCATAGTCAACTCCTGTAGGAGTAAACGGACGTGACGGCGTAACCCGAGAGAGAGGTAGTTGGCCCATCAGGTGATGAGCACGGATCCCCCTCTGCCGAGCACACACGACACACCGCAAAATATGAGACTTCACCGGAGCCCGTCCGCCGATGATTCAGTAACTTTGCCTGACATGAGCCAATGTCAGCTGTGTTTTTCCATGCAGGGTACGCAGATGGGCGTGTGAAATGATCAAGGTTGAGAGCCGAGAGTTGGCGAGGCAAAATCGCCTGATGTTTGCTGTCTGGAGCTAGTGCTGAGTGGGTGAGGCGGCCGCCAACTCGGATGATCCCTTGAGCGTCTATATACGCAGTCAATCGACTGAATGCGTAAGCAGTTGGTAGTCTCGAGTTGGCCGTGAGCATCTTGATCTTGTGCGTGAAGTATGCCGCTTGAGTAGCCTTAATCCAGAAGAGTCTGGCCTCCTCCAAAGCTGAGTGTAAGTCCAGTGTTTTGCGTCGGCGCTTTCCCAGAAGCGATATGAATCTGAAACAAAGAGTTGTTATTTTCAATAACTTGTTGAGTGTTGAGTACCTATATATCAGGTCCCAGTGATAGTCCGGTTGAGATGCGGCCGCATGTAGCGCAATGCTAGGACGAGCCTCATGCGCACTCAACTCGTCCGAAAGCGCGGGTTGAGATGGCCAAGCTTCAGGGGTGAGTATCCACGGTGGTCCCGTCCACCATAATGAGTGACTTTGGAGTTGAGCAGTATTTAATCCTCGTGAGGCGCAATCGGCTGGGTTGGACGTACCTGGTACGTATTTCCAATGTGCGTTCGCAGTGAGCTTTTGAATTTGAGAGACCCGATTTCTCACGAAATCCTTCCAGCGCGATGCATAAGATTTGATCCACGTGAGTGTCACAACAGAGTCCGTCCACAGGTGAGCTGCTGTAACGTTCAATTTCAAGGTGGCTTGAACGTATTGCATGAGTCTTGAGAGCAGCAATGCTGCGGTGAGTTCAAGTCTCGGGATGGTGAGCTGTTTGAGTGGTGCTACCTTCGTAGGAGCACACCAATGAAATCGTGGCGCCATTAGAGCCGTGGACGGTGATAAATACGACTCCAGCCATTGCCAGTTGAGAAGTATCAGAAAAGCCGTGAAATTCCACTGACGAGGTACTCCATGTAATTTGAGAGGTGCTACCTTGGTTGTACCACCGAGGTATTGAGAGCTTGATCAAGCTTGTGAGTTCTTTTCTGATAATGAGCCACCGTGATGAGAGCTGGGATGGCAGTGGTTCATCCCATTGGAGCTTCATGTAGCCAAAGCTCCTGCAAGAGCATCTTCGCCTTGATCACCACTGGTGATACAAAGCCCAATGGATCGAGTATCTGAGCCACTTCAGACCAAGCAAGACGTTTGGTGAGATGATCGGTGTGCGACGAGATCCTTGTTGAGAATGTGAATGAATCTTCTTGAGGAAGCCATCGTAATCCGAGTCTTTTGTTTACGCAATCGTCAATGTAGTTTGTGAGCCCTGGTCTTCAAGCAGAAAAAGTTCTGCTTGAACCGCAGTGAGTACGTCTTGATGAGTCGCGTGCCACCTTGCTAATGGGAAGCCGCCCGCCATGCACAAGTCCGGTGAGCAGTATTGAAGTTTCTATTACCTGCTGAACGGTGGCGGCGCCTCCAAAATGTCGTCAACATCTCGACCTTGAATGATTGGCGGTACTGCGAGGGAAAAACTGTGACCTTCATCCTCATCCAGTTGCAACAGTATTTTGTACTGATAAGAACGGGGCAGCGTTGGTCCCATAGGTGACCGTTGTGAGATAATATGGCACTTCATTGAGCTGGTCGTCTATCCAGAGAGCCCGTTGTAAATTCCAGTCATCTTCATGCACGTTAATCTGCCTATACATCTTGGTGATGTCCGTGGCAACTAGGTGTCGAAATTGTCGAATCCAGAGCAAGACATCGGTGACGTCTAAATGCAACTTGGCTCCCGTGTGCATGATATCATTAAGTGAGCGGCCAGATGCGGATGCGCTCGAGCCATTGAATACCACACGTAATTTCGTGGTTGCACTGTCTGGTTTGAGCACTTCGTGATGTGGCAAATAATATTGCGTTTGCTGACTGGAAACGGGTGAGGCTTTCTTCATGTGGTTGAGATCTCGATATTCTGTCATAAATTGATGATACAGACGTCGATAGTTGTCATCTCGGGAGAGTCTCCTTTGTAAACTTTGCAAACATCGATGCGCAGTGAGATACGAATCGCCAAGAGTACCAGGTGATGATTTTAGTGGAAGTCGAACTGTGTATCGACCTGTTGAATCCCGTGAAACAGTACTCCTGAAATGTTTTTCACATCTTTGCTCGTCAGGAGTAAGATCAAGATTGTTGCTCGCAGGCACTTCTTCCTGTGTCCAAAATCTCGACAGCAACTCGTCGAGAGCATCTTCCCTCTCCTGAATCGATGCATGATGCACTGCAGCAGGTGCCGATGATGATGTGTCGACAGGCCCGAGAACGAGCCATCCGAAGATTGAGAGCTGCGCAATTGACATCAATGTATCTCGCTTGATGATGTTGGGCTTGATGATCTGCCCATATGAGTCAGCTCCAATGATGATATCCACTGGCCGTGGTGTTAGGAAATCTGGATCAGCCAAGGTCAACTTGGTGAGATGCGGCCATTCCTGTGGTGTAGCGTTGAAGGATGGCAGAATGGTTGTTAACGTCTGCAGAATGTGAGCTTGAATAATGACGTCTGTTCTTGAGTAAAGTGAGCGGAGCGTAAGCATTCAACTCCTTGAGTTTGCGTCGCCTTCTTCGCCACCAATTCCCGTGATGAGAATGACAGAATGATGACGAGTGATGTTGAGCTGGCGAACGAGAGATTCTGAAACAAAGGTAAGTTCTGAACCTGAATCAATGAGAGGCCATACGCATTGAGCATGAACAGATGAGCTGATCTGAGCCAGAGCCGTAGCGAGTAATGTTGAGTGTAATGAGCGGGCCAAAGATGAGTGAGCGACGATTGCACCATCTTCCTATTGAGCTGACGCAGCTGAGCTGGTGATCGGCTTCGCTGATGAGTTCGACTGATGAGCCTCATGCAGCATTGTGTCGGTTGGTGCACTTCTTGCACCCCCGTGAGCCTTTACATGAGCGGCCGTTGTGGCGGCCGAGGCATTTGAACCAAAGCTTCCGTGGTATGACTAATTTTAGTCGATCGCCTGTTGAAAGATTCCTACATTACGTGCACATCACAATGAAGTGAGTGCCGTTGCAACAATCGCACGGGTAAATTAGATGCTGCCGTGCGGGCCGGTTGAGCTGCCACATCCTGAGCTGTCAACGTGCGCTTTGCTGTTGAATGAGCGCCGACGGCTGTGAAGCTTCAAGATATGCATGCTCCTTGAGAAACGCCTTGTTCGCCTCTTCGAGATGCATTGAGATTTGAATAACCTTCTCGAACGGCATGTCCTCTGCACAAGTTGGCAGCGTGTCGCCAATACTCCGCACCGTCGCCAGGCGGTTCATTTAGGATGAGCTCCGTGGACAAGCGCACGGGTGAGGCTTGGCGTTCCGATGTGCGAGCCGGTGGTACCTCGAGCAGCGGCGTCGTGATCTCTGTACCGCCCATACCCGCCTTTGCGGGTTCCGTCATGTTGAACCGTCCCTGAGCTGCGCACGATGAAATACCTGAGAAATGTCGAGACACGTGTAAGAAATGCTGCACGAACCGAGAACGTTCGAGAAACGCGTGAGCAAAACACTATGCGAATCGAGAGTCTACGATGTCATGTATTGAGCACGTGAAAATGTCTATTTACACTCGCGGAAACGCGTGAACATGTTTTCGTAACACTCGTGAGCGCGCGGGAGAATGTCTGTCCTTCACTCGCGAAAGCGCGCGATAATGTCCACGTGGCATGTCGTGAAAGGCATGCTCTGTTCACATGATCTGTGTCTGAGTTACACTTTAAGTTCCACGCATCCGGCTCGAAAGACCAAATGTTCGCAAAATCGCTGATTAATCCCGGCGATGGAAGCGGGATGAGAAGGACGCGCGTGGAAGGTGTTAACTAAATATTCACTTTATTTTTGTGTAATTCAGACCACAGTCTGAGCCGTCTTTAATGCGTCTTTTATGCGTCAAAATTGATACAATTTGACCTGAGAGTGATGAGCGGTGAACAAAATGAGATGTATATATAGTCTGAGTAAATGAGCGGCAATTATATAAATTGCCGTCCTCTTCGATGAATCGCCCGTGAGCCGGTGAGACACGTGGCGGTCGGCACTCGCGCACATGTGAGCC